ACTGTTGTCTGTCAGGTTGGGATGTTGGCCAATATAAACTTAACCAAACCTGGTTCGGCACTATTTCCTGCTCCTGGGTGTTCTAGCTCTGGGTGTTGAAATCAACAGTGGGTATTGCTCAGGGGGGAAAAACAATTATTCTGTTTATCTGTGTTTTGTTTAAAACCCTGCCATTTGAGACTGCAGACGCGTGCCAGGAAACAGCTCAGGGAAAACTGCGAGAAAGGCACCAGACAGTCCGCTTCAAAAGAAAAAAGTTGCACTGACAATGAGATGACTGTATCATGTCCAGCATAAAACACCGCTGTGCCTGGAGTTAATCGGGACTAAACTTTAAGGATGAATTTCTGTCCTCCAGCACCACGAGGTCAAGAATCTGTCCCGTTTTCTAAGTGCATCGTGAAATTCAGGGACACTGGGAGCCGGAACTGATCCCAGCAAGCAGTGGGCAGAAGGGCAGGGCACACCCTGGATGGGACGCCAGTCCGTCACAGGGCAGACAGAGACACACACCCACACCCGCACCAGGGCCAAGTATCTCAGAAGCGAATTAAACTATCAGGATGTCTTTGGACTGCGGGAGCAAATTCGACATGAACCCAGGGGGAACATGCAATCTCCACACAGACAATACCCCAGGAATCGAACCCAGGGCCCCAGCACTGCAAGTCAGAATGCCGACCACTGTGTCACCATGCTGCCTGAAAGCTGGTAATCGAATCATTTCCTTCCCATCATGTAGCAATAGTCCTTCCGCACGCCATTATCCATCTCAATAAGTTATTGAATTAATGACGCACAGACTTTATTAAACATCATTCAATTATTTAACTTCCAGCCGGGAATTAAACTTTACCTGTTCCTTCACAGCCAGCGCATGCTGATGTACCTCCCTGCTCAAACATCTATACTTAAACTACACACATTAAAAGCTTAACAGTTTGCTTAACAGGGACTTTTTGGTGCAGAGAGGGGCAGTCCACGAGTCAGACAGAGAAGCAGAGGCACACCTTCCTGATGTAATCTCCACGCCGAATCTGGCTCTCTTCCATCCCACTGGGCTGAGACTCGGCCCTCCCTGCAACACACAGACACACAGAGCTCAGACACAGACAACAGGAAAGACTTCAGGATTTCTGTAAAAACTGTAGACACGCACACCTGTACAGACTCTTACTGGACAC